TACCAATTAAAGGAGTATAATGACCATTGTTTCTAGAAATTAATCAAAAAAATGATAAATATAATCAAAAATATCTTGTAGAAGCCTTACAGGTTTGCAAATATAACACTTTTTATCTCTGCATTTTTAAATTAAAAAAAATAATATTTTGATTGACAATAATGCTCAAAAAATATTTTAAATTTGGCCTAATAAATAAATAATAAATTAAATAAATAAATAAATAAATATAAATTATTACTTTATTTTCAATAGATTTCTATATTTTATTAGTCTTTAATATAGTTTATCATGCTCTAGAATAATATCAAATATTTGATTAATTTCTTCAGTTGTTGCAGTATTTACTGTTGTAAATAATTTATTTTTTTAAACTTTACTAGGAAAAAATACTATTTAAAAAATCTTTTACTAGTTGTAGACTATTGTTTAATTCTTGTTAAAGATTTAGATAATTTTTAGCTATATTTTTAATATCTTTAATTGAATTACAATGGTTTAAAATTTGTTCAAATTCTTTAAACATTTTTTGGTATTTTTTAATCCAACATATTGAAGTCCAAGATTTAATATTGATATAACTTTTTCAACTTAATTTTTCTATAAAACCCAGATGGTGTTCTTATAGCTACTAAGTAGTCAAGATCAAGAGATAAATAAAGAGAATAAATGAAATTTGAACAAATAAATAATTAACATGATAGTCAGGTTCTCTATCTGTATATAAAAATAAAATTAATAAATTTGTATTATGATTTTGAATAATATAAAAAAGTTCTGTTAAATAGCATAAAAAAAATGATACTTCAAATATAGGATCTTTTAATGCTACAGTGTAGGACAGAAAGAGACATCTAATTTATATATAAATACCAATTTTGGTGCTTATATAATCAATTCTGATTGGCTAATTTTTAAGTAATTAATTTTAATCGGTTAAATCTATATATATTTTTTTTATATTAAATACCAATTTTTTGAACTAATATAAACTTCAATCTTTTATAACTTTTTTAAAATAAAAAAATAAAAATCCCTGCCAGAATTGTAGTTTATCTAAAACTCTATCAATTTGTCAGAGAGTTTTTTGAATTAGCTTGTTTTAAAAAAGTTATAACACTTAAAAGTTTTATATATTGGATATCTCTTGCTATCCTGCACTATATAAATATATGCTCTTTATAAAATGAATTATTAATAGATTCTGGAATATTGCATTTCATTATAACACTATGAATAATTTCAACCTTGGTAAAATCATGATTACTAACTAAAAAAGCTTTATTTAAACCAACTAATACTTGTTTTTTACATTCTATTGCTGCTACTAGACATTTAGATTTACCTACTTTACAGTGATGTTTGTTATTAAAAAATAAATATTTATAAAATTTTACTGCTAATTTTTTTTGATATTTAAAAAGTGCTGAAGCATAATGTAGATTAGGATAATTTGTATAAAATTGCCTAGCTTGAATCATAAATTTTAAGTTTAATTGACCAGTATATTATAATATATTTAAATTATAAAGTGATTTTGGCCAAAATTGTAAATAGACCCATTGAATACTTGGTATTAATGTTTTAGATAAACAATGAAGAGTGACTTGTTGTATAAAATTATTTACAGAAATTGCTCTTGCTAAATGAATTACTGAACTGTGTCTATAATTATTAACAGCAAACAATGAATTAGCAGTATTAGTAAGAAAATCTTGTATAATTTTCTAAAATGTTTTATAATGTGTTGCCATATCAGAATTATGTTCTTATAAATCAGTAATTATTTTTGGATCACCAACTTGTAAACTTAATTTTATTCTATTATCAACTTCCTTTTCATTTTGATTTTCAGCTACTATAAAATTACTATGATATAACAAATGTAATACTATTGGTATAACTGAGTCTATAAAGTTTTACATTTAAATTTCCAAAGTTTGTATATAGCTCATATGTAATAAATATATATATCTTTTTTTAATAGTTTTGCTATTTCAAAATTACATGACATAATTACTGAATTAGATATAGTTGAAGATATATACTATAAATATATTACTGAAGTTTCATGTTGACTATTATATATATATTGAGCTAATTTAAAAGATAATCTCTTATCTAATTTTTTAATATATCAATGCTTTGGCCTATTAACAAACTTAATTAGAACAAATAATTTATAATATTAAAATTTTTGTTAAATTATTTATATAGGTTTATTTGGAAAAAATTATTTAATATTTATAGGCTTCCAATAATTAATAATATGAGGTTGTCTAGTTAAGTTTGGCTATAAGATAGTAAGAAAGCTATTATTTTTTTCAACTAGTTTGAAGAAAAGATGGTTTTGTGTTGTAACTATTAACTATTTTTGCAAAATTTCTTGATATCAAGATAAATTTGTAGCTAATATTTTTAAAGAATTAATAAGCCAGCAAAATACAGATTTTCTAATCTATGCAAATCTTGTATATTTAAAAAGAATATTCGAATGATATGCAGTATAGTTGTATCAAATTGCTCTCTTTTTTTTAAAAAATAAATAATAACAAAGCACCAATATTTAACAGGAATATTATAACTTCAGCTTTTTAACTTCTCTGAATTACATTTATCTATATACTATAATATAGTAGCCAAATCTTTAACAAATTCTTTTCTAATTATAATTGCAGTATCTCTATTTTATCCACTATTATTTTTGTGAATCTATTCAACAATATTATATCATAACTATTCCAATACATTTGAACGATCAAAAATAGCAAAAGTTGGTAAATGAGTTAAGCTAGTAGTATCATTCAATATTTGTGAAAAATATTAATTGATGCTTCAGAATATGATAATACTTGGCTATTTGATAATATTGCACTCTGTTTTTCTAAGCTTCAATTGCCTCAACCATATTACATTTCATACTAATAACATTAAAAGATCCAGTTGTATTAGATAAAAAGCTCTACTTTAACTAGTTGTAAATAGTTTTCATTATTTAACTACACTTCATAAACAATTTTTTCTGCAATAAGATCTTTATAAAACTACCTTACTGTAATATCTTCAGGTATGGAAACATCAATATAGTTTACTTATATTATTTTCTGTTTTAATTTGTACAGATACAACAGGCATTTTGATTTTTTTAATCAAAAATTAATAAACTCAATACTTTTGTAAATTTAAATTAACAAAGTATTAATTGATAGGAAATATATTTTAAATTATAATATACTGACATTTTTATATAAAAATATATATGCTAGAAATACTAATAGTGATACTTAATCTAACATCAACACTATCTGAACTACATAAATTGACAACAATAATGATATAAAAGAAGTAAGATAAGTATATTTTATATACTGCTTAATTAAGATATTATGACACAATTACAAATATGATACTACTATAGAACAGGTATCCTTTATTGTAAAACAACAATTCAGATTTATGCCCAATTTTCTCTTTTTTTAAATTCCTGCTATTTTCACAATAATGATAGATACAAATTATTTAAAATTATAGCTAGTATGCTTTATACAGGTGGAAAGCTACTAGCTGATATTAAACATCACTAATTGTTTAATAGCTAGTCAGCTTTATACAAGTAGATAACCACTATCTAATACTTTGTATTACTTTTAATTATTATAATTAGCTGTATATTTTGATAAAGTGATTTTAAATAAAGCTAAATATCCTGCCTTATTTGAATAGTGTATATATAGAGATGAGTTCAGTTATGACTATAGTCGACTATAGTTGACTATTAGTTGTAGTTGCTATTTAGTATATGACAGCTTAGCTAACTAGCTAAAATTGTAGTCGATGTTAGATTTTAATATTCTGGCAAATAAAAATGATAATTAATACTTAATTCAACATGAGACTATGTTAGTGGATTTACACTATTTGATAAATAGAGAAACACATCATCATAATTCTAGTCAAATTTGAAGATCATTTAGCCAGATATAAAACAAATCAATTTTAAATCTAGTCAAATAATCTGCAATTTGATCAGGTAATACAGATCCACAAATAATTTTTTTTGTCCAATCAAAATTCAATTTTTGGATACGTCAAAACAATCCACATTTGGCCTGGAAAATTCCAGGATTTTTGGGCTGAATAATTTGCAATTTGACTAGAATTAAATTGTTTTAACTATGATTGACATGCTTGATGAATCCAAATAGCTTCTTATAGCAAAAATATATAGGGAGGAGTCAATAGAATCCAGACAAATTGTTTTTAGTAAGTTTTTTTTAAAACTTTAAATTAAAATATCTTAACAACTATTAGACTAAACATGATGAAAATTTTTTTATAACTAAATAAAATTAAAATAAAAAAATTTTTATCAAGTTTGGTTTAATAGTTGTTAAGATATTTTAATTTAAAGTCTAAAAAAAATTTACATAGAAACAATTTGCCTGGATTCTATTGACTCCCCCCCATATATATACATTATATATATTATAGGTTTTATATACTTCTGACACATGGCATAATCCAACATACAGTAGGTAAAATATCAATTTCTTACACAGATTTTTTTTAAAAAATAAATATTTGTATTTTGAAATTATTTGCACCATTTTTAAACCACTAATCATAATTGTAATAGTGTAAAAATAATAAAGAAAAATAGGCATAAATGAAAGTAAAAATGTATAATTCAACTGTATACTTACAAATTATTTATTTAGCAATTTTTTTGAAATATATTACAAAAAATATCAAGATTGCTGGATAAAATTTCACGATTACCATTTTTTTACAGTGAGATACTCCAATTTTTAAATCTAAGAACAATTTAGTTGCTGCACTAAAAGTAGAAATATCTTTAAAAGCAAAAGAATATTACAATTAATTTAATTTTGAAATGATTAACTAGCTAATACTTGATTTTACATATATATATATATCATGAAAAAAGTATCGCCTGTTTATTTCAATGCAATTCAACTAATAGAGTTATGATATCTATTCTATACACTTTCCATATCTTGCTTATCTGATTGCCTTGCTAATCGCTTTTTACGTTGACGCAATTTTTTTCTCATCGCCTTCAGTATGAGTCCCTTCAAAACTTCTTGATACTCTGACATTTGCCATGTGCGACAAAAATTAGCCGCAACGGTATCGGCATCATCATCCTTGTAAATCACCAAAAATGTCACTAAGCGGAACATACCAATAATTTCTAATCAATTAAAAGTGTTTAATAATGTCAACGTACCACGCGCATCTCCAAAATTTGGCGTCCATTCGATGGTGTTTCAACGAATATATTAAATTTATTATCTTCTCCGTCAAGATTATAACTCGGATCTCCACCGTTAGACATTGTATATAAGCTATCAGATATTTCTTCTTGATCGTCTACAGGTTTACTTTTAGATTTATTTCTTTTAGTATCATGTGTAATAATCGAAGAAGCTAAGTTAGCTCCTGGAAAATCATCTGATATATCACGCGAAGAAATAGTCGATCTTGTGTCATCAGTTTGGTAAGTAACTTTAGATTCCATCATATCTTCCACAATTAAACCATTGGTATCTGAGCGTTGATTCGAAACCGTGTCAGTCGAGTGTCCAAAATTCCGTATACTAAAGTTCGCTTGAGGTGAGAGTGAACGATTGTCATTGTTTACTGACATTAAAGTATTATTATTTTCATTTTTATTAAAATGATAAAGATCCATAGAATCATCCATTAAGTCACATTTCGTCGGCGATATTGTGGAATATGTAGCAGAGTCATATAACGAATTATTCAATTCTGCGATATCCTTGCTAATAGTACCAAAAAAATTCGAATAATTATTGGCATTTGATTTTGATTCTTGACCCTGATTAGAATCAAGGTTAATCAAAAGATCTGATTCAGCTTCTTTTATAATTTCCTCTCGACGTTTTTGCTCGTTCCGGGTCGTAGCAATAATATCATCTGCAAACCAAGAATCATTTTCAAGCCCCCTATCCTCCAACGGAATATCATCATCAAATGTCAAATCAATATTTATTTCTTTTCCGGATAAATTCAATGGATTATCCCATTCAGAATGGGAATCAGGCTTTCGAATTATCTTATCATCTTCATCCCTATTGGGTGTTGATGATAAAGGTTCCTCTGAATCGTCAGATGAACTTTTAGAATCAGAGATATCTGGTAAATCAAAGTTAATCAGATCACCATTTCTTTCAGGTTTAGGATAGTCAACATAATTTTCATTTTGAAGCCATTCACGTTTAGGTATCCACTGAGGATTACCGAGACGTTCGTAAGATTCTTCAATATTTAGTGTCTCATAATTTAAATGATCCTTTTTATCTTTATCTTTCGGAGTTTCATTATCAGAATTGTCTAGTTCGATAATAACATTTCCAATTTCTCCTGTGTCAGGCATCGTCAAACCGCGATCTTCGTTTTTATTTCTAACTTGCTGTCGGAGTTCATCCCACGAAGGAACATCGATGGACCTGGACTGAATCTCTTGTCGTCCGAAACGAGTCCTTGTCATTTGTCTCACGTTGCTACCATCGGAAGAATATTCAGATATTTGTTCAGTTATTTGATTTTCTTCACTAACGTTCACCCAATTTCCACCTTGCAATGACCAAAATGTGGTCTCCTTTTGTTCTTCAATCAATTCAAAACAATATCCCTGACGTGAATCATTCCATGGGATACATTTTGTAGGAGGTGCACCCCACCCCTCACAATCATCAAGGTCAAAATTAACGACTGGGGTATGTTTTTTCTTGAAATAAATTGGCGCTTTTGCTTCTTGAATAGGATGCCAAGTCAAATTATTAACTTCATTTGGGTCCCAGGTAGGAGTTGGTGGTTCAGGTTTTGGTGGTGCAGCATCGCTTATCCACTTTTTATTACTTCCCCAAACAGATGAAAAATTTATGCTTGTTTGACTATGAAAATTAAAATCCATATTGATGCTCTTCTTGGAATCCTTTTTCTTAAAAACTTCTCCAACTATTGGCCACTCTTCTTCATTAAGGTGCGTAGGAGTACTTTTGGTAGAAGTTTCAGGCCATCCACTTTCTTCTAAGTTCTGATGCGTAAAATCGTTATTTAATTCCTTTTTGTCAAAATTTCGGTCGGAAAAGTCTCTGTTAAAATTTGGTGGAGTGGTTGCGCGAATCACTTCATTAGTCACAACACTTGGAGCTTTCCCTTTATCAATTTTCTCAATAATATGATTCCCTTTACCATTCGTCATATTCGATTGATATCCTAAATTTTCATTTTCATCAATTATCTCTGTGATTTTTTCTTTCGGATTATCTGAGAAATATGTTGTTGGTTCTTCTTGAGAATCCCAACGATTTCTATTCCATTCAAACTGCCGAGAAGATGCTGATGTTTGCCCGATTGATTGATGTTGTGAATGGTCTACACTTTCGCCAGTGGTTATTCCTAATTCTTCCCATCCACCCAAATCATAATGCGTATTCATGCCGTTCCATGAAGGCGAAAAATCAATTAAAGAATTGGCAGATTGATCAGAAAAAGCACTAGATGGACGTGCTATCTCTTCATCATTATTCGGTAATGTATGCGAATCTGTTTCAATCAACATAGATTCAGGTGATATAGAACGTGGTCTTAAGTTTTGCTGTTGTAAGTCTCGAATTGATGAATTCGGCTCTGAATAGTTTTGGGGTGATGTACATTGTTTATTTGGTTCAGGATAAGTGGAAAAAGGCGTGTTTTGTTCAAATAGAAACTGTCCCGTCGATTTTATTGGATCTTTTATTTTTGATTGTTCAACTTGTTGTTCTTTTGAGACTTTGTTTTGTTCGTTTTCGAAATTCTCACTAAATTCATGTTTATCAAAGATATCATCTGTAACCGCGTTTGTAACCTTTGGATGAATAGATGATGTTGATTCCAAAGAATTTGAAGCAAGTTGGCTTGATAAGCTTTCTCTCTCAGAATCTACAGAGTTTCGATGCAAACTAGGGAGTTTAACATTAATCGATGACCATCCACTCTGTGTTTTTGTAATGACAGAAGATAATTCATCTGGACGGAATTGTTGAGTTGAACTACTGCTTATTGAAGATATGGTATGACGACGATTTATAGTAGATATGGGTTCATTTACTGAATTCTCATAAAAATCTTTAGATGTACGGCGTGATGAATCTCGAGAACCCATATGTGAATGTTCATATTTTTGATTGGGCGAAAAATAGGATTGTTCTTGGTTAATGTTACCCACAGACTTGGATGAATTGTGTGATGATTCATAACGCATGTTGTTAGTACTGTGACTGAATTCGTCTCCAATTGCTGAAGTTGAAGCAGGTGAACGGTCACTGTCAAGAACTTTTTTCATTGCTCTATTCAATACATCTGAAGATAATCCCAATTCGATAGCCAATGCATTTATTTGAATCTCGGAAAGGTTATGCATATTTTGAAAAGAATTAGTATCATTAGATAATCTTTTTTCATGTGGTTGTTGGACTGATTCCAAAGAATGTGAATTCTGGTTATTGTGTTGAGCCAATTTCTTCAAATTATCACCCTCGATAGTACATCTACCGGTCGGATTGTCGAAATTAGAATAATGTTCTGTGGAGAATTGATAGACAAAGGACTCTGATATTGATGGCATCTTGCAAAATGTAATTCTTACAAGTTTAAAAGTATTAGAAACAAACCAACGCACTCCTGCTGGATCGAAAAATCCACATGAATCGACAAGCAATTGAACAAGCGTATAACATGCTTTGTTCGCTAAAATTCTTAAACAAGTATCAGTAATCTTATGACATCCTATTAAATTGACGATGCGCAAATTTTCAGAGCGTTCAGCAATGCTATCTATTGACCGATCTGTCACGAACGGGCATCTAGAAAGTCCAAATATCTCTACGTGTTTGCAATTGTTTGAAAGAATATCAATTAGATCATCATCCACAGATAAATTATCGAGTAATATTGTATGCAATTTCTGCCCGATTGGCGTGACCCATTTGATAGTATGAGACATTTCTTTTAAGCACCTCAGATCTAGATGACGCAAATCTTCCAACGAAGAAATAATAGCTTGAAAAGATCTAATAGACAGTTTATCACCCGATAGCAACAGTGTTTGTAAACTAGAATTGTTACGTACAAAACGTTCGATGTTGTCGTCTGACATTTGCGAACAGTTTTGTAACACTAATTTCTTCAGACGCGTTAATTTTCCGGCTAAGATATCGAAACCACGTACGGACATCATATCTGTACAAATCTTAAGTGAGGTGAGTTGGGAACATTTGGTCGCTAATGTCTCAGCGAAATTATCCGATAAAACAAAAACTCCATCCAGATCGAGAACATGAAGGACAGGAATACAATTTATAAGCGAATAGACAGAGAACTGAGAGAGATTTTGGTTCCCTACCACGCGAAATTCCTCGAGTCCCGGACAATATTGAATTAAAGATTGTATGTGACTATCATTAAGATTCCACCCATATATTTTAATACTCTTTAAATTCTCGCATGATCGAACTAAGTTCATGATAGAATTTGGCTTTGATAACACATAAGTACGCATTTTTTGATGCTCTTGACGTTCTGACTTTAAAACAGGTGTAAAAAGGTTTACGAGCTCATCTTCTGGTGCACATAAATCTAATACGCGAACTCTAAGAGCACAAGACCTCGATTGTCTAACAGAACGACAGAACGAATGGAAAGAATCTGGTGTATTAAATACAGGTTCTGACCATAAAATTTCTGTAGCTGCGGGGGTCCATCTTTTGTTGACAAGGCAAAAGTTGAAGCGGTCATGCTGGACGCCTAGATATTGCGCTATACGTTTTATAATCTTGCTTGGTAGTGTTAACGCGTGGTGAGTAGGAAAATCGTCAAATTCATTTGGCCAAGAATCAGTTTCAAAATAGTTTGACATTATAACAAAATGTTAATTATTAAAAGTGAATTAAAAAATATATATATCGATAAAATATCGATACGTTGATCGTAAATCTTGATTAAAAAAAAAAAAAAGAATTGGTGCTTTCGAAGGACAACGTAATGGAGTAATGACAAGTTAATGACAAGTAGAAAAAAAAAAAAATAAAACTGGTTGATCATGCCCATTTATTTAAAAAAATATCATATCACCGAACATTCCTAGAATAATAACATATCACGGTGACATAAACATTCTTTGAATACTTACGCAATTAAATTAAACTAAATCAATTAAATCTAATTAACTCCCGTCTAAACACGAAAGTTAAATAGAAATTCATATATATATAAATAACCCCTTATAATAATTGTAATAGTATTCAGCTTAATGAAGTAAATTCGACATAATCTTTATTGTAATGTGATTATCGTGGACGCGACGGTTATTTATTTATCACATATCCTATTAGGGGGTCTTATTCGCAGAATTCAACGATTTCATTGGTGGAGAAAAGGGCACTTAAATATTTAGGGATGCAGTAATTATCACTGTTCAAAAATGGTTGGTACGGAAAAACCGATATTTATGATAACGAAGGTTGATCCTTTCAGATCTTTAGGGAATTTGTAGTCAGTTTACACAACATATCTGTCTAAGGACACGTGTTCATAAATACAATACTATAAATCGATACAATGCGAAAAAAAAGCTTAAAAGGTAAATCTCACAAGCATATCTATTTGGTTTTAGGTTCTAAACGAAAGAAAGCTGTGATGAGCAACCATAATAATCAAGGAGACAGTAGAAATGGGTTAAATGGAAATTTTCAGCAGGCAGGTTCGAAGCCGAATCCAATTGAGGATGTAATGGACGCTTTTAAGAGCATTGCTCTCACAGCAGGCTCTGGAGCGATTCTTGCACCAAATTGGCAATCTACAGCACTAGTTGAATCTGGTAAAGAACCTCAGAAAGGTCCAAGTAATAATAGAGATCAAGGTACAACAGATAGGAGTAACGGGTTGAACGAAGAAAGCAAGAACAAAGGCGTTGCCACCGAAAATGAAGGATGGGATAAAAATCGGGGCAATTCTTTTGATGCAAAACAGAATAATCAAGAAAAAGCGAATTACTGCAATACTTTCGGTAACTCGTACATGGATTTTGGAGACGTGGGTGAACCAATTGCAGGTACTGATGTTGGCTTAACTAGAGCGAATAGCAATCAACTAGATACACATCATTTAAATAATCATCATTCACAACAAAAAAATGCATGGGACACTACTTATGATTTTGAAGGGAGCCAAAATTTCGGATGTCAAACGTACGGTGATCGGCAATTCGAAGAAACGCGAACACCTCCTCCTCCTCCTCCTCAGCAACAACGGCGAGATCAAAATTCAAATTTCAAGCATGAACTGAATTCAGATTTCAGGCATGAACAAAATTCAGATTTCAAGCATGATCAAGGTTCACCAATGTCACAATCTTTACACGCTCAATCTCACACATCTCAAACTGAGTCTGATCATGATCATCAACCTGTAGTATTAAGCACGGATTCGATAACCCTGAAGATAAATGCCTGGCACTCTATTGCCGATCCGCATGCAGTAGAAAGAAATGATGGTATTGGCACCGGACAACTGCATCGCAGGGGAAGAAATTACAAACCTGTTGATGAGGCGACCGTATTAGCGATACAGCAGAAAGGGAAAAGTTCTGCCAAGAAACCCAAAAAACAGTTTGAAGACAATTCCACGTTCTCCTCTTCTTCAAACACCAAGCCCATACAAAAGAGTTTAAGTAGATCAAAACCATTACCGAAACCCGGTCCTCATAAACTTCCTAATAATCCTTTTACTACCAACACATCCACATCATCTTTATCATCTACATCTCCTGCGTCATCTGCACCACACAAGCCATACACAGTTAAACAGGAAGCACGAACTACTGTTAATCAGCAACAACAACAACAACGAGAGAAGACACCATCGCCATTACCTCCGCTGTTGCAGCAACAACCACAGTCGACACGAGCACCTTCTCAAGCACCTGGTCAAGAAAGATGGAATTCTCCAAATTTAGCTACCACTCCTTTCTGGGAAATACCTCAAAATAATATTTCACAATCTGCTGCTAAGTCAACACATTATCAACAGTCACAATCTTATCGTCATCCATCGCCTGCTCGCTCACCGCGACCGTCAAAATACTCACAGGATTTTTTACCATATATCCCACCAGAGTTCGATTCAACCCCGTATCGAAAGCAATCATCTCCTTCACCTGCTCGTGGTTATTCGCCCGTTCGTGGTCACTCACCTGCTCGTAGTTATTCAAATGGTTACATAGATGAACCGCCCGAATACGAGCGAGAGAGTAATGATGATCAAGAAGATTATGAGCAAAATAGCGATGTCGATGACGAACATAACGTATATTATGAAGAGGATGAAAGTTTTTCTGAAAAAGAGGGATATGAGTCGGCATCTGTATTATTCGATGATGAGCCTATTTCACGTCCTCTTCCACCTCCTCTTGTTCCAACTCCATTATCGCCAAAACGTCTTGATCTGTATGATCGAGGTTATCATCTTCTCACTATTAATGTAGAACTTTCAGAGTCAGAGCCTCCTCAAGCCATTGTTGTTCACGTGAATGATGATCCTGCGGTTTTAGCTAAAGAATTCTGTGACAAGTGGCAAGTTACTAATGATGTTGTAGAACCTGCATTAATCCAATTAATTAGAGAAGAAAAGGAAAAACGTATTGGATGATAATGAGATTGATTTGAAAAATAAAATATAGTTTGGAATATTAGTTTAAATGTTAGGGTATGATGTAAACAAAGGTTGATTTGCTCTTGTTTTTTCTTGCTGTAACTATGTTTCAACTAATAAATATCATAATTGTGTTATGTTACACATCACTGTATTATAGAGTTTTTGTAACTTTTATGTACATTAAATTATTTAAAAATGTCTTATCAGTGTAAATTCCGAATAAATTATACTTTTAATTATTTAAATCTTATTAATACGTGCTGCGAAGAGTGACAGAAGTATTTCGATACTTACCTAGTATATATGGGTCGTTTGCTAGAAAAATCACTGTCTGAAAGCAAGTATTAAATTGTGATTTTCCTAGCAAACTACCCATATATGTTATGATTTGTTTTAAGGATTGTTAATTTTCTGTTTTAATTAAGTTTAATACTAAGAGTATTTTTTAAATAGATATTATATTTATTTTTAAATATTAGAACATAATAATTGAGGTAACTTTGTTCTTTTTAAAGATTGTCTTTTTAACAAATTTTATTAGTATAAAATTGAATACAATACGTTGACATAATATGATTTATATTTTATGTTTAATTCGTAATTCGTGTGTAGCTAGATATTGTATCCTTTAATATTGCAGGCAAATTTGCCTGCAACTTTAAGTAAAATATTTAATTTTAGATTTGTTTTTTTTAAGAAAATTTTTTAAAATTATTAAAAAAATACTTTAATACAATAAAGTTTTATTATAGAATTTTTTTTTCTTGAATTTTTTTAAAATTTTATGTTTTATTTATAAAAAAATATATATAATCAAAATAACTATAGTAATTATTACCACTTTAGATATTAGTTGATTAAGATATTATACTGTATTTGATTTTTTATCATATGTTTTTTGTAAATTATACAAATTAATAAAATTATGTTTTAAAATTTTTTTTCAAAGCCTTATCTATAACACACAATGTTTTTTAAAACAAATAAGTTGTTAGAGCTTCAACAAATCGAACTATATAAAGAATATAAAAAACTAATATTACAAATATACAACTTTTTCAAAGATAGGCAATTATTTTGTTTTCTTTTACAAAATTCTTTTGGAGTTTTTTAAGATTTTGACATGAAAAATAGCTTGTTAGATGTGTACAAGTAAAAACTTTCTGTAAAATATATCTTTAAAAGAAGAGTATTTTAGAAAAAATTAAGAAAAACTGGTTTATACTATATAGATTGCAATTTTTTAATTAGAGTTTTTTTTTTTTTTTAGCACAAAAAATATAGCAAATAAGTTATTTGGTTTTTTTTTTTTTTTTTTTTTTTTTTTTTTTTTTTTAAAATTTTTTTATTTTTGTTTTTTCTTATTTTTTTTGATTTTACAATAAATAGAACCTAGA